TATATAAATATATATATATATATATATAATATATATATATATATCGTAAAAACTTTAATTGCTTGAACAGACGCACAAAACTTTTTTTTGAAAATAGTTTGTCATTATGATTTATAAAATTTGTTTTCATCGGAGGTGCTGTTAGTTTTCCCACCCAAAGTACAGTTAATCAATTTTCCGAAACAGATCTAATAGGACTTTCGCAGTAGTAATCGAAATGACGCTACTGTCATTTATAGTGACTATAAAATAATATGTGGTAAATATATGTGATATGTGATAAATGTTATTACTTACAGTTTAATATATAATAATATGTTTGCATTTTTATGAGTTCATTAACGGCCTAAAATCTTACTTATAGGGCTGCAATTTACAACCAAAACGTGAGAGACGTACGGGACAAGACAAATAATGCTCTTCAGAAAAAAATACTAAGTGGATTGATAAATGCTGCCACAATTTCCCGTTGGCATATTGCGAAGGAAACTGGATTGAGTATATTTTTATTTACCTAACAAAATTTACTTTTTAGTTTCAATTATTAAAATGAAATCGAAAAATATCGAAAAATTAAAGAAAATACCTACAAAAATAATATTACATTTTGTAAATGATAAGCGCATTACACACAATGAACTGATCTATATTGGTAAATATAAGGAACTTTAAATATTTAGAAAGGATTAAATTTCGGCATAAATAAATAAAATAAATTCATGTCCATGTTGAGTGGCTATGCATACATCCTTTTGGAAATTAAAAATACTTTTTATTTTCGTAAATCGAATGGATTTGTCATGTGTTGTGGTTACCTTTGCCTGAAGAGGAGAGGTCAAAATGAGAGTCACTGGCTCTAATATTTTAAGCTCCTTTGATTTTGCGGACTTAAAATTTAATTATTTATTAAAAAAATATTATATTTTATTAAAATAATAGCAGCCAAATTATGATACGTGAACTTAAGTTGAAAGCTAAGTACTCCTCTTAACTGATTTACCAACTATTGTGTTTTCAGATAATTTTAATTTGTTACTAGAAATAATCCACGATATGTTTAGACTAATAGTTTTAAACTCAATAAAAATGCAGCAATATGTGCCATTTTTATACAAAATCTATACAAAGTTCATTAAAAAATACGCTAAATTGGTTCAACAAATCCTAATGTAAGACATACCTAAAATAATTAAAAAAAGTGATGACATCAATAGCACAAAATCGTGAAAATACTCGTGAGTTCCAAAGCGTTGTTTTTTCAAAATATATCAACAAAAAAAAAACGTTTAAGTCTGTCTTGAAAATTATATCTAAATTATATATAAAGCAAAAGTACTCCATATGATTTTTATAGTAATCACCTCCAATAAAAATATCTGTGAAATTTTGCAGCGTTTAAGTAATCCAATGAGATTGCAACATAACGTCTCACTGGAGGGATTATAATATAATGTATATAAGATTATAATAATACGAGTACCAACGCAAAATTAAAAATTAAATTATATTAATTTTAATTGAAATTAATGGAAATTAACTTTCATGTGTTTTGATATGATCAAACAAAAGACTTATTTATATTTTTAATAATATTTTATCTTTTGTCAATCAAACGATTGACGTAGCTAAACTCATCCAGTAGTAATTCTCAAAACATTAGGTCCACAAATTCAATGAGAAAAAAAATTTTCTCATAATAAGAAAATAAAAATAAAAATGGAAAACAATAAAGTCGCTTAAAGCATAAATCAATTGATACTTTAACCATTGAGACCAAATCGAAATTTTATTATCCTGACGGAAAAGCCATCGCTGCCATTGTGTGTCATACGTCAGAGCGCTCTAAGAAATCGTCAAACATAACAATGAGCCATAAGCACGTGGAACCCTCGCATATACACACATACACGTATACACGCAGGTCTAAGGATAAATAAGCAATAACCAACATACACATCCACTCACATATGTGGATGGCGCTGAATAAGACGACTGCCAGTAGCGCAAGGACATTTGCATATACATATACACTTCAGACGATAACAAATATAACAAAATCATTTCTGAAACACTTTAGATACTGCGAAGCGAGCTCAAGTTCAGTTCTTTAGTTCCTGTGTATCCTTGTTGACAGAGGCGGCACGGCATGTCCATATAACAATGCGAGAAAAGGACGAGTTCGCGGCGAACGAGGACCAGAATATCACTGTGTTGAGTACACGTTCATTGCGTACTCAACACAATTTGCGTGTGAGCTTATAATTTTTGGTATCTTCTTCATATATTTGGAATTATTTAGTGCAGCTGTCGTTTAAAACTTTACCACATATACAAAATATAATATAATATAATATAATATAATATAATATAATATAATATAATATTATATAATATAATATAATATTATATAATATAATATAATATAATATAATATAATATAATATAATATAATATAATATAATATAATATAATATAATATATAATATAATATAATATAATAAAATCTTATAATATAATATAAAATAATATATATTATATGGTATGGTATATTATATTATACCATATAAAAAAAGTAGTATAATATAAAAAGTGTTATAATATAATAATAATACGATGTCATACATAAAACAATATTTATAAAGAAATATAATATATAAAAAATATATATAAAATAATAAATATAATATAATATAATATAAACATAAAATAATATAAATATAAACATAATATATAAAATAATATAATATAATATAATATAAATAATAATATAAATATAATATAAATATAATATAATATAAATAAATATAATATAATATAAATATAATATAATATAAATATAATATAATATAATATAATATAATATAATATAATATAATATAATATAATATAATATAATATAATATAATATAACCGTTGCCATTTATTTTATTTAAAACGACACAAGTGATAAATTTTTTCAACAATAAATGAGATGAAGGAGAAATACTGTAGTCGAAAATGCGGTAGCATATCCAAGAGAGACTACCTTAAATGGGATGAAGTAAACATTTTTATAATTATAATATATTTTATATTCTAAGGAAAACAGAATATAAAATATTCTCGTTACTCTCTCTACCCGTTCCTGAAATCCTGACGATTTAATATGAAACATTGTGAGTAAAAGCATATATCTTTTCAAGTACTCGTATATTAGGTAAATGCGGAATTAACTGCAATAATTACGTTATTTTAATGGTAAGTTAAATACATTTTATCTTTTTTGAATAAACAAAGTTGCAAGTTGTGCAACAATAAAATTCTATGATAAACAAAAACAAAACCAGTGAGTCATTTTACAATATCCAAACAATATACATTTATGTGTGTCCACTCTCGAAGATATAATCTACATAGAGTGTTTTATTTCAAAATAAATTATATTCGAAAGGTGACTGCTACGTGGGAGAAGAAGGAGTAACAACTTCCATGTAAGATTATTCTTCATTATGTACCAATCTCTTGCAAAAGACATCTAGAATGAGTTTATATGCAATAGTTTTATTCAAGATTTATCAATTGTGAACAAATTTTATATATTTAGTTCTTAATACTATTGGAATCCATATTTAGTAGCTGACTAAATAGTATAATCGAATAATGTCATACATTTATTGAGGTTTGTTCACATTGGAAATATATTAGCATGTAGCGAATCTACTGATCCAACCACTTATATCTTTTGAGTGGTAATTATATATACCTTATTTACATTTCATATGTTAGACATGAATTACATTGTTAGATCCACGACAGAATTTGCTATTACATCCACACCTAATCAAAATTTGTAAACATGACTAGACCTAAAAACCTGATTTGTATTAAGTAAAGAAAAATTGATCCAATTTTGATATGAGTCTGATTCATCCTGATTAGAATCGATTTGATCGGTTTGATTCTCTCAACCAAATCAGCGATGACGTGATTCTCCTAAAACGCATCTGATCACAGCGGCTGATCAGAATCTGGTTTTTACTACAGATAAAGTATTCGGATAATGGATATATTTCGGTTTGCATTCTCAAGAAATTTCCAAATAGAAACGTAAAGAGTCGTATGCTTCAAAAAACGTTAATAGACATTTATTAACTTAGCCCGAGCTATTGCACATAACATAACTAGTGACGATAAGTTATGGAAAATTATCTAAAAGAATCCAGTCCTAAATGAAGTCCTGTCGAGAACATTTCAAATAATGTTGTATTTAACACCTAATAACGAAGTCTAAACAATATATTAAGTCTATAGCTGAAGGCCTCTGTAGCCATAGCTATATCTATACATGTTAGTATTAGTTTTATAAACTGAACTATCATTATTTTTAAATAAAAAATAAATAAATATTAAGTCCAAGTTTTAATCACGTTTAATCACCCTGCACACAACTTGAGTATGACTTAAATGGGAGAACATTTGCACTATAGTTAAGAATAAGTAGAAATCAGATAATGCTCAAAAAATATTGAGATATTCCAGAGATAAAGTTTAATAAATTTGATCAGAATTTTATTTTTATTAATAGATTCTTCCATCTTATGGTTTTATTATAAGCATTTCTAGTAAGTACATTATAATAATGTAATGTATTTAATTATTTCAATAATAAAAAAAATAAATTTATTATATAAATAATAAAATATAATTTTTAATCAGTAATAAGTAAACGGACTATTGCCAGAATTTTTAAATTGAAGTCGAACGAGCTTCGGTAAAATCTACTTCAGTTTCATAAACAAAATTTTTTACTACCTTAAGTTTTCGGTACCACGATATATTTTTTTTTTGTGATATCAAATCTTTGATAAAATTGTATCCAAAAATAGGTCTACATAAATTTCTATATGCAGCCTATGGTTTTTTATCTACTAGAAAATTTTCCAGTATCTTGCAAAATCATAAAAAACACAGATATTGTTCATGTAGAGATACTTGATGGTATCTCGTAGATTCTGACTTACATGGCCACTCTGGAATTGTGACATTTTCAATTATTTTTGAGGTACAAGTATTCAGATGTGTTGATTCCAATGCTGCGTACTCAAATGTTTCACACTACAAACTTGAATTTTAAAGTAAAAACACTTCGTCTCATAAACTGTCAATACTGGGCGAAATTTTTAGCTCATTTTTCTAAGCATTCTTAAGCGAAACTTTAAATAAAATTTGCAATTATTTGTAGAACTTTTATGTAATTTCTCTTATTTTTTTTATTTTTTTGGAGTGAAAACTTGTTATATTTAATAATTTATTTTTAGCGATTTTATTAATTTCTATAATTAATAATTTTTTATTTTCACAACTGGTTTCGGATTCGCTGAACGTTCTTACTTCGAACACGACTCGCTTACATTTAATTTAACTCAAACAAATTTTCATTAAAAGGCAAAAACCATTAAGAAACACTAAACAAAATTAAGAAAAAAGTGACAAAAAATGCAAAATAAATAAAAAAGCACACAACTGGTTGTATCTTTTCTGTTCTTTAACTGTTGTGCCGATATTTGTCGTTGCCACTGGCATTTCAGTTGGCTTTCTTATCATTCTTTCCACTGATAATGATATTGAGAATTCGTTATCACTGGCGAATTCACTTGATAAAGCCAAATTGTTTTGAGCGAACGAATATTCGGAGTATTCCCACTCAATTCCAGATACTCTATACTCAGATACTCTGCCATACTATTTACTCTGGAGCAAGAATGTTGCCAATGGGACCACTGTTTCACATTAATTTGATATTTTGACTACTGTAATGCCGATGGAAAATTAATAAATCGCGAAAGATATGTGTTTGAATCAACGGCGAACGAACTGTCTTCGAAGTCTTTGAAGCCTATGGGTTTTTTATCAAATAATTAAAAATGATGATCAGCTAGAATCATAAAAAAGATAAATAAATTAAGTAAATGCGGCACTAGTTACGGAATTTGTTTTTATTTACACACTTCACACATATAGGGCGAAGAAAGTATATTAAGTTCCTCACAATGTTTGTTACGCATCAGAGAAAGTGTTTGGTAATCTCTAAAGTATGCACTACCTTGGAAACTATCCACGGTAGTGTCAATAAAAATGGCTAGCAATATTCGTTTAAATCATCTTTTTTTTTTTGTTTGATTAAATAACTAGTATTACTGGTTGATATTCATAACAATTCCCATAACCACAACTTAGTCGGACGTGATCAGCAAGCTATTAAGCTATTTCAAATTAATAATAGTGAGGGAGGAGAGACTAATTGGTTCATCATGCACAAGGCTCCACTCACAGGTGGGTAATAAATGATTCTAATACGAGTGTACGCTATTGCATATTTTATTCTATTTTATTATATATTTGATTTCGGGGTGTGCAAAATTGGATATGTCTTCTTAGGTCACTTATATTAACCCACTAAGCACCAGACAATTTCAGACTTGAAATTTTACGGAGAAATTTCTATAGTAAATATTTATTGGAAAGTATACTCTCGATTTCTTTATATCTAAAAAATATAAAATATTCTTTGAATCTAAAAAAATATTCAAAACTAGACGTGTGGTGGTCCGTGTGGTGGTTCGAAATGGGTTAAGTAATAAATAGGCAATCCCTACATATATAATTCGGTTTCAAATAATAATCTATGTAGAAAATACTAACGTTTTGACAAAGCCAAAAACTAATTAAATTTTATATAAAGTGTAATAATAATGAATTAAATTTATACCGAAATATTGATAATAAGGTGCGCGAACCAACCAAACGTTTATACGGACAAGTCTATTTTGTGATGTCTGATTAAGTTTCTGAGATATATATTGTCTTTCTGTAAACATCCTTCAATATTTGTCGGAATTAAGTACACAAGTATATCATTGAAAAAGCTATAAGACTATTAGAAAAATTAACGGTACTAAGACTGTGTAAGAGAAAAGAAAAACCATTATATGTGGTATCATAAGGGGTCAGAAATAGGCTTAAGTTCATCAACAATTATCGACCGCTGTACAATCTTATCCAATCCAAGTTCAAATAATCATATAACATTTTAATTATTCTGCGATGGGATATACCAAGCTATAAAATAGCATGGTAATTATAATTTATGCAGGTACTATCAGCATGATTATTTTTATTATAAATAGAAGTTATCATTACGGTAACCATTTACGGAAATCGCAACAATCGTTTCTTTATAATTTTTTTGTTAGACAAAACTTTGTTTGAAATTGGTAACAATAACATAAATAGAGAAGGAGAGAGAGAAAAAGATAAGACAACAATAATCAAGATGACCAAGAAGTAATTGTTTTTCAGTGATCAATAATTGGCTGACTGGATCTATTTCTTTAACTCTTATTGGGACCCAAAACAGTATAATCATTTCAACGTATTTTTATTATCTGAATTCTTTTATTTTTACCTTTAAAATAAGCAGTTATATAGGTAATGATCATTTCGATATCATATTTTCCTGCAGTACCATTTGATGTTTACGAGCAGATCGTAACTTACTTTGTTGACCATTACAGACGTGATTCCATGTCGGAGTATAGATACTTGTTGCCAATGCGTAAAGGAACATATAGTACATTTTCCGAAGAATTTTTCTTTCGAATACTCCTAACACCTTCTCATCACTGTTTGTAATTGTCAAAGCTTCTAGTTAACAGAGATAAAATTTAACGAAAAGGATGGTTGAGAACGGTTAACAAATTGTATTATTAAGAACTTGTGATGCGATCCATTCTATTGGGCAAATGCCAAAATGTTGTCAGTCAATTGTTAAGCTTTAAAAAGATTTGAATAGAGTTTATAGACTTCTCTTCACTCACCTAATAGTCGTTATGATTATAGTAATGTACTCTTCTGTTATTTATTGCGACACACTGAGATTCAAACTTCTATAAGGTACGTTTTAATAACACCGAACGTTAGTACTTCAATAACAATTTGATATATTTGGGACTCCTAAAACACATGCCATTCTCATTTTCGAAACAATCTCTGCTACATGAATGCTTTGTCTAAAATTATACTTACACTACATTTCAATGTCTTAAAGGCTTTGAATACATCTCAGGATATTTGGCAATTAAAATTACTTCATCGGCTTAATTTTCTGGAGTTCTCTGGAGTAATAACTGTAAGCAGGCAGCAAGGTTAGTTATAGTCATCAGTATCTGCATAACCCCGTCTAAACTCAGAAAATCATAAAATAGTTGATTCCGATAAAGCAGAGTCCTTTTAACAATTTTGAAACGATTTCTGGGTTTTTATGATACATTTTTCCAACGAAATATGATACTTCGTTTTCTTTTAATATTTTTCATATATCAAAAGCTATAATTCAATGGATAATGGACGCAATGTCTGAGAATCATTTGATGATCTCCTCCTACTTCTCTTTTCTGTCACCATAATGCTCATAATGATTGGGTGCCTTTATTTTTTCTAAAATCATCAATTAATTACTCATAGCAAATTTTTTACTTACTAGTTCACTCTGGACGTCCCTCACCACATTTCACTAGCTAATTATGATTCAGCAAGAATTGCCAAATTGCGTACTCATATTTGGACTTTGTTTGCATAAAATAGAAATACTTTGGCAATATTTTTAGTAAAATTCATAAAATATTTGACGTATGACTAAATGCTGCATATATTGCATTTATTAATGAATGGTTTCGTCAATCTATTAATAAGCACTTTGTATAAAAAATGTATATTATTTTATTTTAGATACGACTACAACTATATAAGTCGTATGTTATTTAGCTATAGTTTTATTATAAATACAATAAAATAAAACATTGTCGTAACAAAATTGGTAATTGATTATCGGATTCGGTATAACTACTCCGATAAGAATATCTATGAGTTAGTTTGGTTGAAAAATAGTAAATTTTGCTTCCCATTTCATATTATTAATTTGCAGTTAAGGTTGAGAGGCATCTAATTGTGTTCTGTGATTCACCGAATTTTAGTATTCAACAAATTCGGTCGTCCAAATAGTTTTGCTTGCCATGAACCTGTTACGTTTTACCACTTGATTTCTATCTGAGGTGATTTTTCGCAGTTCAGTGACTATAAAATACGGCAAATCACGATTAGATAGAAGAAATGTCTGGAATATGCGCATATACATTATTACCACTTCCTCGCTTCTCCGATCAACTTATCACTACTAATGGTCAATTTATGGTCTATTTATTTTAGCCAGTTTACAGCTCTTCACGGGAACTCAACCGGATTCCCGGTAATGATGACATAACGCTCGAGAGCTCGAAACTATATCGTCGGTTGACATTTATTCTCTATTTGCGTAGCTGAGCGCTAATTGTCATTGTTTGGCTATGAGTCACTCACCTTCTGTCAACGCCTGCACAAGTGTTTCCCTTATCAATCCAACTGTAGTTAGTTTTTGTTGCTATATTATGTTAAATTCTGCTAAATTTCTTACTTGTGTCAATTTTAATGAAAAATAAATAAACTTTGATTGCGACAATAAAAATATCGCATATATATTAATAAAGACATTTATTTTTTTAATTAATTATTTGCGTAGAACTTTTTGTTTGTTGACATTTCACACTGAAGTATTTCAAAATTTTATTACGTTTTTCTATTACAAAAAAAACCAAAAAAAATTATATTTTTCAACAAAATTGTTAATACACGAGGGATACGGCATAAATATCTTCTCGTATAGGAATTAAATTTTAAGTTCCACTCAATTAAGTGGCTACTTGGACGACATTCCGTTAAGGCAATCGAAAACAAGCTAATAATATACAAACATACGTACAATTTGGTCCTACGGATCCCAACTCTGGGGTTGTACATCTCAGTCAATGACGTGAAATGATGTCAGATAAGACGTGACTGCATTAGCAGGCTTGCTTGGATTAGGTATTATTATCACTTCTGACATATTCCAAATTAGCGGACTGCATAGCTGCTTCTCAGAAGTAATCAGGTCAAATTCAAGTAGTTTCCTTAGTTTTAATTAGGTATTAATAATTTGAATGATTTTTATTTACGATATGCTGGGAATCTCATTAGATGTTAATGAGAACTGTACATTATCTAAGTCCAATTCATTGATTTTTGAACACATGAGTTTTTTTTTTCTTAAACGTTTATCTGGAGAGTCGGTTTGAAGATTTAACCAGATCCTAACCAATCACATTGAAATTTACTTAATTTTTAAACAAT